TTGTTACATATATTTAAATCCTTTTCTCAGTGTATTATCCGAATTTATACGAATCTTAGTAATTTTTACCAGTGTAACAACCAGCAAAAACGTTAACTGTCACCGATTGTCACTTTAAATTTTGGCCACCCCGACATCAAACGTGCCGACGCAAGCCTTCACTTCTGTAATAGTTATTCTGTGGTTTTACCATTTATATGTATACAAAGTACTACACAATTCACTTCATAATATAAGAATAAGGATAGTAAGATTTTTAAATAAGTTCATCAATAATAAACGTTTGGTACCTGAAATGTCCTTTAAACCACATCAATAATCATGTCCTGGGTTTAGTAAAAAATATTTCTAGATATTCGTATAGCAACCAATAGGTGAATAATTCCAACAAATTAAGTCGTACACATGATAAATATTATATTTATGACAAAAGCACGAAAACTAAACTTAAATTAACACTAAATGAAACTGAAAAACACTATTATAATGAGAATAATAGATCTTTTCCTTTACACCGAATGTATAGTACTGAGCTACACCACTTCTGAAAATATTGTTCCATTTATATAAATTGTATGGATGGAATTATATTTTGAGAAGTTGTGTAACTTAGTGCTACACTTTCGATGCAAGGGAATAGACCTATTATCTAAAAACAGTTAAAAACTCACAAAAACAATATCTCGCACAAAACAAACCCCTGTAAATAAACAAACATCCTACATATAGGTGACAAATTACAGGCGCACAAAAATTAATTTAAATCACGAATAGTTACCTGTCCAGATATTGATATACATCAGTGAACCAGCTAAACTGTTGCCCTATTAGCAGATCTTAAATAATAAACACAGACCCTGACAATTTTTTGTGCGAAAACTCACAAAAGAAAGAGATTTGTAACATAAATAGTCAAAGGAAATACTATAAACAAACTTTGTATACCAATCCAAGGGACAAACCACCTGAGAAAAATTGTACAGTACAATTCCACTTCCTTAAATAATTCCACCAGAATTACACATACTTTCATTGGGATTCCACAGACTTCCACTGGAATTCCATGTACTTCCACTGGAATTCCAAGTACTTCCACTGGAATTTCACGTACTTCCACTGGAATTCCACATACACTAAATTTAATTCCATGGAATTCCACTATCATGCACAGTAAAACTCCAAGTACCCGCTATTTATCACTTTAAAAAATGAAATAAAAGTAGGTATATTTTGCTTATAAGGTTGTAAATTTTAGGTATTTTATGTACATATCAAGTACATCTATTACTATTTCATAAGAAGATTCTGGGCATGTGCTGACTCATTAAACATTTATATTATAGTTTAGTGTTCGAAATCTTTTGATGTTAATATGTCTAGGTTACCAATAAATAATATAGTCTATACCTACTCAATATATGTTATTAGTGATAATTCGGAGATTTTCAATTTTTTGGGGGCTTACCATGATATTAAATGTTGACAGAGTTTAACAATCTATATAGGGGGTGCAGATTAAAAAAAAATCTGCAAGTAATCAAATTATGAAAAAATAAAACAAACACAAACTAACTATATTAAAGAAAACAAATACAACAAAAAAACTCTAAAAAGCAATGAAACAGAAACATAACTAAATATAGATCACAAAATATAGAAAAAAATTAATGAAAAGTCATTTATATTTCTTTTAAATTTCTTGCTCATCAAATCTTCTAATTGTGAATGGATGAGAAGCAATCAATTCGATTGGTCCATATATGATGTGCATCTTCACGATGATATCGACATCTTCATTTTTTGGCGACTCGAAATAACCAAGATTTTCTGATAAAAATTTTATTTTGAATTTTCTGTATCCATTCTACCTAGTAAGCACCCTGCACGGATATGAAATCTACCAATAACAGTTCTTATTTGGTTAATAGCCTACCTTTATTATTTTAAATTTAAAAGTGATACTTTTGTCAAACTAATTGTCTCAGTATATTTTTAGTTATTAAGATTAAATATAATATAAAATGGGCGATTCTTGTGAAAAGTCGATAAATACCTAATAACAGTTTTGATGCACAAAAAAATATTGTACCTTAATACACAACATATTTTGTGCAGGGTGTCTTGGTAACACAAAAAAGTAGTGTTAATGAAAAAATGTCTCATTTTAGTCACTGACGTTAATGCAAACAGCCAATTTTTGACAGTTTAAGAAAAATACTATTTTATTTTAAATTAGTGACATATTATTTTTCTTTGACATGCCTGGGAAACAAAAGTTTGTTTTGAAACGGACTACATAAAAAAACTACCAACTCTATGCTAAAACAATATTAATTGTTTGAACGTAGTAGGAAATTAAAAAAAAACCTTAATTAAATTCACAATATTGATTTAAAAACAATATTGAAAACTTTCCTGCTAAAGCAAATAAATTTAATGTTTTGAGGTTATGTTATACACATAAACATCAGATAACTGCGCGAGCGCCACTAAACCACAATACGACAACTACGGCAAATAGTAAGTACCGTCGAAACAATTAATTGAATATTTAAATTTCTTGCAGCATCGATCATTATAGATCCACGGACTTCCACTGGAATTTCAAGGACTTCCACGAACTTCCCCTGGAATTCCACGAACTTCCACTGGAATTCCAGGGACTTCCTCTGGAATTCCATCAATGTGTACACCATAATTCCAAGGTGGTTTGCCCCTCGTACCAATCCCCTGCCCACAGCCATAGTGGATTTTTTTTTGGCAGAAAGTTGGAATAAATGTAGAATAGAATAATTTATTAACCTTCATTACATAAAAAAAATACACAAGGCAAGTCGTACAATAAGTATATAAATGTAAAATTTAACAATAATAATAATAATAATAATAATTTATTTTTATTTTTTATTTTTGTAGACCCCTATCACACAATTCTGTAATAGAGTAAAAAGAGCATTTTTGTAGGTATATTTTAACTTCTTTTTTAAAAGATTCGTATGTTGCTTGTGATTTTAGTTCTTCAGGCAAAGCATTATAGATAGTAATACAGTTATATAAAGGAGACCTTCTGAAAGTCGTTGTCTGATAGTCTTAAATTGTCATTCCTTGTGTGATGAGAATGAATTTGAGATTGTTTAATAAATTCAGAGAGTTACTTCCTTGTAAACGTGGTACATTTAAAAATATATATACACAGAAATGTTAAAATTGATTTCTTTTAAAAATGTTTTTGCAACTTTCGATATTTTTTAGATTAAATATTAAACGAAGTATTCTTTTTTGGGACACAAACACCCTATTATTCTCTGTGGCTTTTCCCCATGACAAAACATTATAAGATAAATGAGAATAAGCGAATGCATAATAAAGATCAAGCAAGCCTTTTTCATCCAAATAGTCTATCATCCGAAATATTGCATAAAATAAAAAGTTTTATTCAGTTGTCCACATACATAGTCTATGTCATGTTTAAAGCTCATGTTAGAGTCCAACCATGTACCCAATAGCTTGTCATGCGTTTCAAATTTAAACGGAAGTTCTTTACTTATTGACTCTGGTAAAAATTTCTTTATATGGAAGTTTAAACATACCGTTTTGTCTTCATTAAGAATTAAAGAGTTTTTATGGCACCATTGTTTTATTTGACTGAATACAGACAAGGCATTCTCTTGAATCTCCTCCGGAGTCCTACCTGTGACCGTTATTGTAGTATCATCTGCAAACATTATGGTCTTACCTCCATGTATATGTGTCAGCAAGTCATTTACAAAAAGCAAGAATATTAACGGTCCCAAAACAGAACCCTGAGGAACCCCGAGAGATACAGGGTACATTTTTGAAATGTAAAATTGTCTCAAGGAGAATATCGAATGGGCTCTTTATTAAAAACATTTTTAATTTTAATTCTATAATGAGCAATTAAGTGCCCACAAAAAATATGCATGTTGATAGTTAGGCATCCCAAACTGGCTGTCGAAAGGAAGAGTTGGTATATCTAGGAGATTGCAACATAGACCCAGCAAATTAACAAAGTGGTCACTGAGGCTAGGGGGGAAATAGTAGTCAGCTTAAGTTGACAACACCATGAAAATGTAATTTAAAAAAACTACTAATATATTTTTCTCTTAACGACTACTATTTTGAATAAAAATAGTGTCCAAGATGCAAGGCTATATCCTAACCCCTTTAAATATACCAGCTATTGTTTGACAGATTATGGAATGTCTAATATGAAGTGACATAAACAATTTAAATTAAGCCCTGGAAAAATTCACAAATGTCAAGTATACTATTATTCTTTTGATTTTTAAGTGCAGTTGGATTTAAATCAGAATTGAATGTATTTGTTGGTCATGGCCTACTTTACAAACATTTTTTTGTGCATCATTCTATTTCTTTATATATGATCCATACCTACCTCTTTTTTTAATCTAATATGACTGTCCTTAATTAAATATGTGATGAACTGTTGCATGAATTGATAATAGAAGTAGGTTGCTGTGTTGCAGTACCTACAACAATGCAATGGGAACAAAACAATTATGTCATTTATAGGTACAATAAATACCTACTACACAGGTAGTAGGTATGAGTAGTGTGGTTTTTTTGAAAGCATTCCTCGAAAAAATTAACCATAGACCCATAGATATTTTTCAGTATAGTATACAAAATCATATATTAAAGAGTAGGCATATATCTCTATTTACAAAAGAAGACAAATAAAATTTTATCTAAATAAGTAAATTGACAAAGCAAAAAAAGCTTAGAGCATCTCATAGTCTCTGAGAAATAGAAATATAATAATTATAAATAGGTACCTTGGTACCTATTAACATAACAATATCTACAACTAAAACTTTTAGGTTTATATAATAAAATATTACACTACAATTAGGTAAATAACCAAATCAGAAACGCGGAAAGTTTCAACACGAGAATTAATATTGATAACTATATCATTTACGCAAGAACGTCGCCGGAGGCTTTTATTTTCTACTAACCTGAGTTCAGTCGGTTAAAATCCACAAGTAAAAAATATTTAAAAATTTGTCCTACACGAAAAATTACACTATTTACACATGTCACTATAGTTTATCTAACTGCATTTTATTATGTGGATGTGACACGTATTTATTAAAGGCCGAAGCCTGATCGTATAACCTACTACTAGCTCTCTTGTACGGCCATCACTGTATTCGTTGTGTATTGTTTATCGAACTGTCTGCGCTTGAATCTATACGCCCAAATAGAGAATTACGTTCTCTTCGCGTATTTTTTTGTGATCTTCGTGATATTTTGCACTTCTGGCCACTTAAAACTAATCCTATACCTCTTTTTTTATTAGTAATTTGCGAAAAACCCTATTTACCACATATTCAAAACATTTGCTAGTCCGCCAGCACTAAATAGGTAAAGCAATTAACCAATAAGAGCAAGAGGGCCCGATTACAGCGCCACATACATCGCGGCTCATTGCGCGGCAAGTTTTAAATTTCTACTTTCCCTCGTTGGATGATTCCGAATTCTACTTATTTCTTTCTGATCTTTAAAACAAATCCTTATATTGATACAAAGAAAAAAACTGAAAATATGATATGATAATAATAACCCAATAAATAAGAATCTTATTTTATTGATAAATTTACAGAAAATGTATTGCAATAAAGTCTATAAATTATACTTGGAACATTTTGCAGAGAAGGGAAAAAGTATTATTTTTTCTTGTTTGATGTTTTATAATTTTCAACATGAAACTTTCAAAATATCTAACTGCATAAAGATGCATGTCGTGTTTTTTTGCTGGCTATTTCTAGTTGGGCACAGGGGAGGGTGATAAACATGTTGCAGTGCACACTGACTAAAATTTAAAAATTCTTGGCCAAAATTAAAAAATCGTTGCCGTTGAATTGTTTTCTTTAAAACAGGTACAAAATGAATTGAATATACCTACTAGTGATGTAAGAATACGTATCCAAAAATCCGTTGAATCCGAATATTAAAAGGATCCGGATATTCCGGAATCAATAGTGTAAATTCGAATACGAATTCGGTATCAAAATGTACAGAAACAAAATCGTAATACACGAATCGAATGCTGCAAGTTCTGTTATGACAGAGCCGATTCGGGTTTTGCGGGTGGCAGCCGATACGAACTATGGATACGAAATCAGAATTCGGAATCGTCTAGCGTTGTTGCAATTCATAATCGGTTAGTCGGCATGCACTGCATATTTTAAAGGTAACATGAAGTTATATAAATATAAATGAGAAAATTTGTTTCTGATATGATAAAAAACAAAATATTTGAGATTTATCTTGTGTTTATTATTCTAAAACATTAAAAACTCCTGTTACTTCACTCTCAAACATAAATTCTGCTAGGGTTGACAACACTGCCCGATTCCGATTCCCAAGGTCGCGGTGTATTTACGGTTGCGTATTATGATTTCACACATATGGATACGTATCCGGATGATGAATCCGAATATCTCTTGGTTCCGAATACGTATTATCCGAATACTAAAAAGATACGGATATTCACAACACTAATACCTACCTACCTATAATGACAGTATTAAATTTTGCTAGTTTAAGTTAAGATATGGGGGAGATTGGGGCACGTTGCTTGAGTTGAATTAAATAATGTACTTATAGGTAGGTATCCATACAAGAAGAAAATGTATTTATACTTTTTTCAATATTTAAAAGAGTGAAAGTGAACTTCATTCATCGTCACTATTATAATCCATCACTATCATCGTTATATCACTTACTTGAGTAACTGATTATTTCACAAAATCTTTGTTTCTCAACTACATTTTGGTTCTTTTAAGGATCGATTCCACTGTTGTGTTAAACGAAGTGTAAAATGAAATTTTTACATTAGACAATGTCATTTTAATCTCCGTTTAACACAACGGTGGAATCGGCCCTAAGTAATTTTACCACTTTAGGGGCAAAAATGTGTGAATTTTTTTGAAAGTAGTCTTCCAATCATGGATATTTTAAGGTCAGAAGTAACTAAAAAGTTTATTAGGTTTCTTATAATTAATGTGTACCTATACCAAATTTAGCCAAGATTAAATTGCTTTTTTAAATAAGGATTTTTAAATTTTTTGAGTTTTCTAATTTTTTATTTTAAAAAAAGGAAAAATAATTCCAACTGACATGGGTCAATTCACTAGTTATCCGACCAGCACTGGAGTCATGGGCCTATTTTCAGTACCAATGGTTGCGTTCATCCGCGCCATTTCAAGGAGCGCTACAAAAGTAGCGATCACTTACGCTACCTGATCGATCTTTATGCACGGATGAACCATGTTTAAAAGTGACATTTGATTTTGGTTTATTCATTTTACTTTTGAGTTGAATGTCTCTGGTTGAAGATTTGTTTGTTTATTTTTCAATTGCTAATATGCTAATATAACCCTACTAGTCACCAAGTAAACCGTGGACGTAAGTGCGTAAGACAGATCAGTGATCACCGATCAGACGTCAGACGTAAATAAAATGCGCTACTTTTAATGGCGGCCGCTCCTTGACAATGAAGTGGAGAGGGGTAGAATGATAACTGTCAATGAAAAAGTCTGGACACTATGCACAATTTCGTTTTGCACATTTTGTAAACAAAATTCAGGGACGGTTTAACAACATTTTGTGCAACAATTATAAAATAGTGCATCGAAAAATAATTAACAAGTATAATTTAATACTAAATTGGAATAAAAGCATAAAAAATCATAAATATAAGCAAGATAACAAAGAATTGACGCCAAAAAAGCTTACAACAGCCAAAACACAAACAAAAAACAGAGCTGAACATGAACATAATCGCTGAATAAAGTCGATCCTGGAATTTGTTTACAGTGCTTTAGGGCAACCTCTCCTTGTCATTTACGTGTGTAAGAGTGGAAGGCTGAATCAGGAATCACGCATAATTTCTACACTCGTGATGGATGCGCAGACGGTACCCAATGAACTGGAGGGGGGTAGAATGCCAATGTACATGTTGTACTATTAGAACAAGGTGCGACTCGATGGGCGCAGCCATTTTTATTGTTCATCTCACTCGGGACTATTTATAATAACCATTTTCTGTTTCACATTGTTATTGTTCAATCCACAAGCTGGTGGATCAGACAATAACAATGTGAAATAGAAACTGGCTATTTTAAATACTCCCGAGTGAGATAAAAAATAACCTATCTTCGCCCATAGAGTCGCACATCAAGTCTATTGACAAGCATTCTACCCCACTCCAGGGGCCCAATTCTCGAAACATGCGTTAACTGCCGCATGCGCTAAGTAACGCATGGTCGTTAACGCATACGACAGCAATTTAGTATTCCTGAACACCATGCGATAATCGCGAATCAAGTCGAACGTGTTAACGAAGAGTCTTTTGATTATTGCATAGTCTTAACCAATGAGGATTGAGAATACCAAAGATGGTATCACTGAATATGAGATAATTGCATTGACATATGTCAAAATTGCCAAAAATGCAAAATTTATAAAATTAAATAAATTGCAGATGTCTAATAATTTTTGGTTTTTGGATGTTTTAACTGTGATTATTTGTATTTTGGACTTGAGAATTGGAGTGGTTTAGATTTAGAATATTAAAAATGGAACAGCGGGGTTCACGAATAACGGAAAAACAGCGTGAAACTTTAGTAGAATTTATAACATTGTTTAGTGCCTGTAAAACTCCTATTTCTTCTATATCATCCATACTAAATAAAATATACCAAAATAAACTGGCACTTAAGCGTCCAATAAAAGAGTTCACGGTACAAAAAGTTTAATTTTTATATTCTAGTAACTAATAAAATGTTCAAAAAAGTCAAATTAAAAATAAATATTTCCCAATAAATCACAAAACATAACCAAAACCAATACATAGAAACATGAATCAGAATCACGTATGATAAAGCAGGATTAATTGACAATTATAACCTTACTTTCATCTAAACGAATGCGATAATGTGGTTGTCGAACGGTCATGAGCGCTCTTTGAAAATCATCATTTCTTAGCGCACGCGTTAATAAATTTGACGAATGCCGCCAGCTCAGGAATACACTTTCATCAAGTCGCATACGTTATCGCATGCGATAAGTTAACGCAGGCGTCAGGAATTGGGCCCCTGTTCATTGACGGTACCTTATCGTTCTACCCTCTCTACTTCTTTGCTCCTTGAGCGAAATGTCAAAATACACCGTTCATACGTGCCACTCGAGAGCGCTACCAGATCGATCAGGTAGCATGTGGCGCGGATGAACGCAGCCAATGTGACCAACCGTTTAGTGTGTCTTGCCGCTACCACTACCAAAATTCCGCTACGCTAGGGGAGACCGGGGTTGGAAGTCACATTTTTTTTCTTTTGTGTTTTTGCCCCTAATTTCTTAGTTTATTAGTAGCGTTTGTATATCAATAGATAGTGCATTCGTTCTAGTTTCGAAAGACATCAAGGCTTTTTGTCTAGCCTTACCCACTGAGGAAATATTACAATTTTTATGAAAAAGAAAAAGTGCGACTTCCCAGACAGCACACCAAATCCTTTGGATATCTACTGAACATCCCAATATCCACTAAATGTCCAGTCCATGGTGGATATCTATTTTATATCCTTGATATATAATTTATAGACATGCAAATGTCCATAAATAATAGTAATTATATGTATAGCAAATTATTAGAAAATTACGCCATTGTGCTCGCCATTGTGGCTAATAGTACCGTTCAGATATTTAAAATTAATTTTTTTAAGGTGTATTCAATATCCCATGGACATCCACTAAATATATCAAAGTCTAGGCGCGAACGCAAACCATGGTGGATATCCACTAGATGTAATTTTTGATTTTGCTTACTAAGTATAGATGGCGATACCACTTTCGCTCGTTGTCATGCTCAACCCGCCGTAATTGAGTTCGATCGAAATGATATCAAAATCAGACTCCATTAGAGACTGGAGTCGAGAATTTCCATTTATTGCCGAAGAGTCCTAATAAGGATGACTTTCTCCTTAGTGGGCAAAATCAAAGGCAGTGTTTTGAAAATATTTTGAGTGTTGAAATAGTATATTAAAGTATAAGTGGATATAACGGTCTTTAAAACACGCGCGATTTTTCGAGCACGATGGCGCAGCCGGAGTGCTCGAAATAGAGCAAGTGTTTTAAAGACCAGTTATCCACGAATACTTTACGCTATTTTTTTTTATTGGTATACTTTGAAATCCTAAATATTGGTATCATTTCTACAAAAAAATAGAAATAACTGAAAATGGTTGAATTTGTGATGTAACATCAGTATACCTCGTTGTCATGAAAATGAGACAAACAAAAATGTATTTTCAAAAAAAATATTTTTTTATTGGTACCCTATTTTACTTATTTAAAGTAGGCCTCAGCGTGTTTAAAACGAACTTTA